AAACCTCACATGTCTTCAAGTCTACAGCACTGTCATTTATTCATAGACTCTTTCTAATACCAGCATGATTTGCTTTTTAGATTACTCTTGCACGGAAAGCAAGTCTCAGGAGTCTTCAGCTCTGTGGAATTCAAAAGCAGGTTCATGTGCATCTGTGTGTGCTTCAGTAGATATTTAACTGAGTTCTTTTCTTCTTTTCAAGGTCCCCGAGTCCCGATGGTGACTGTTCACAACACAACCGATGCACAGAGTAAGAATGGACTTGAGCCTTGCAGTTCTTCGGAGAAAAGTAGCCAGGCAGGACACTGAGATGTAGCTGCCCTTTGGTAAACTTAGACTAGCAGGAAGCCCAGACTCTGCCTAAATGCAAGTCTTCTGCAAGTCAGAGGGACTTGCAGAGCTGTTGGGCTGCCATCACAAAAGCCTTCTGTTTGGGGTATGAAGGCAGTGGTTTGGCCATGATGTTTGTTATCAATTTTCTTAAAAACTGCACAGTCCAGATATCTCTCTTTGTCAGTCTTTCACAAATATTGATTTATGTCCTACTCAAAAATAAGAAATATTTAGTTTAATCTACAATTTAAAAAAAAACAAACCACTCTGATTTGGATTACCAGGTTGAAAGACATAAGGCAGAGGAGTGAGCCCCACAAGTTGTAGCTCTGCCTGGTTTCCTGATCTGCTCACGGGGCCTATAGCACATGTTGTTTGGTAAGACTTTTTCACGTTAATGATTCACATTCACACCAGTATGAAGCTGGAATTATTCCAAATACATGTTTTTCCCTTTAAAATCTTTGATATGGCTGTAGCCATTGCCAGACTGGTCAGGACTCCCTGTTGAGCCCAGACAGCCGTGAGGTTTCTGGGGTTCCTCCTTCACACCTGTAGCAATATACATTATCCAGAAAGATCAATTTTTTACCCCAAGTCAGCATAGCAGGGACCCTCAGCTGGACAGCCTTTCTCTGTCCCTTCTCTACGGGGCTCTTAAACCAAGGTGCCCCTTTCTCTCTTGCACGAGTCTCAGGAGACTTCATAGCAGGGTGTGGGACTGAGTCTTATGTGAAATCAAGACTCAGCTGCTCCTCTCACTTTGATGGTAGACCCTTATCTTTCATTTTAATGTGGAGTTTAGCCCAGCCTTAACATGCAGTTAGGGACTTCAGGCACTGCTAGGATCCAGCTGATAAGCAACACCTTTATTCTAGCAGCTCTGTAGACGGCCAGTTTATCAGGATGTACAGCAACTCGCTGCTGATGTCTCTGCAAAGGAGCAGAGCAATTCAGTGAATGTGGCTTTCAAACTAAAGGTTTTCTGTGAAATGCTGAGCTGCTTCATGTTCCACTGAAGGTGGTAAGTGTCAGAGTCCTGTGGCACCAGGACATGTAAGAAAAAAACACAGGATCCATCTTGCTTTATACAGTTTCTGTGTTTTCCCTGCTGTATTGCCTGTTTTCTCAGTTTCTGTTGGCAACAGGCATTTCAAGTCCTTACCCCACCTAGAACAGTTTTACTTGTAAGCAGGAAGTGTAGAATGCAATCCTAAATTCTGACTGAATTTTTTAAAATCAAATTTAAAATCAGATTTGTGCATATTGTATCCTTTGCCATTAAAATAGAAATACTCAGTAGAGTTCCATCTAGAGTCAACAGTGTCCAATACTGTTAATAAGATGCATTTACATCATTTTACATCTACATTTAACTCTAATTTATCCTTCCATCATTTTCCATAATTTTTTTTTTTCCCATTAAAGTGTTCCTTTGAAGAAGAAGACATGCATAAAATTTAGCAGCATCCTGGAACAAGTTAGGTTAAAGCAATGTACTGCTGCATGACTGTCCTGTAAGGGCAGCAAGAGAGATCTTTGCTGCCAAAGCAAAGCAACACAGTGTACCCTGGACTATGGCTTAGACCATCTGCCATCAGCTTGCTTACAGGGTGACCGTGAGCAGAATATTTCATTTCCTTATGACTCAGTTTCCCCACTGGTCTATAATTTCTGAATAAAAGTGCCATGATGGAGCTGACTGATTTTGCTTCCAGAGGAGGGCTCTTACTGTGGAGCCGGGGTTATTGCTGCTGGAAATAGTGGCCTGGGACTATGGCCCCGTGTGCCGGTCTTGTGAAACCACTCCTGCTATAAATGTGCAAAAGTTGGCACTTGTAGCTATTCTGGTCTACAAGAACACAAAAATTGCTGTTTTAAGTAATACTGAAAGCAAACTGCAAGTTCCTAGCTTTCCAGTCTTTCTGCAGCAGTGACCCCGCATGCCTCAGCCAGGGCACAAGGGCATAGGAGCTCTTCTTCCCAACAGAGACCTGGGCTTGGCAGTGCCCTTGCTGATCCTAACTCCAGAGCAGCTCTGCTGATGCCCACCAGGCTTTTCAGCCCACAGAGGATGTTGCCACAGGGCCAGGAGGGTTTCTCAGCTCTGACCTTCAGCTCCGAAGTAGCTTTCTTTTTTTCCCCCTTTAAACAAAATACCTTGGTTTTACCATAGATGTGGAGGTGGCTGGCTGGCTATAACAGCATAAACAGGACAGTGCGCTCACGAGCTCTGTTACAGCCTCCTGTACAGTTTTCTAAAACACTTTTAGGTGAATAAAATGAGAGATATAAGAAAACAGAAACAGCAAATGAAGGGCTTGAAAAAAGCACATCAAGACTAGTTTTATTTTGACTGATATATATAAGCAGCATTTATTACATAAAGACCTCGATCTAGTCATGCACAGAATACATCCCCTATCGAAATTCATGATTTTCTGCATGAGATTATCATTTCCCCTGGTTCCTTTTTTCTCCTCTTTCTTTTCCTTTTGAATAAAGGGCAACTGGCAGTTGCATGTATATTCCTCTATAAAGGGAATTTGCCTCTGTATTCTGCAATAATCTGATAATAGGGAGTTGCTCAGAGTATTATGGCGTGCTTACATTTAATTAAGCAATGACCATTTGTACTCCACAGACTCAAGCTCCCTGTGGTCCTAAAGAAGAAAGGAAAGTCCTTTAGGAGATATGCCAATCTTTTTTATTTCCTCCACAGTCTTCCTGGCTTTCTGTGAATGCAATTATACGAACAAATAAAATGGCTTGACTAAATTCCCCTACGTGGCAAGACCCTTTCTGCTGATAAAGCTACTTGTGTGTGCCATAATTAAATGAGAATCTTAATATTTAACTAAACGTGATAGGCTGTTGCTTTGGCACTATTGTGGGGGCTGTGGTTTCAATAGAGATGAGCCAGACTTTTCAGAAGCAGGGTGAATAGCTGTTGAATCAATGTACTATTGCTGAAAGATCTGTGAAATGTATTAACTGGGAAGGGCATGTTTTGTGCTGTGCCTGCCTATTCAGCAGAGATGGGCAATGAGAGCATGATAATCAGGTACAAAGAGCATTCTCTGAGAGGCTGGCGTTACACATCTGTTTATCAGTGTGTCTCAAAAGGGAAGTTACAGTCAAAAAAACACAATTTGGTGTGAAACCTCAAACCCTCCTTGCATTTGCATGGCAGAGGTAATGCCCTGGATGCCCCTGGTTCAACCCAGCCTATGCCATGGGGATGAGCACTGCAACAGGCTCCCCAGACCAGGACTTACTGCACCACAGTGGAATCCTCTTGGCCCTTGAATCCCTCCCTCATGGGGCTAAGGAGCATCACCATCTCCAGGAGACCCACCACTTAGGACATACAACCTGAAATGTCTCCCAAAGATGGGCCGTTTCCTTATCAGCTGGGAAGGATTTTCTCTTTCTGATGTTGAAGGTGGCCACTTTTTCTAGAAGCGGCTCAGCGGTTAGAGCATGTGGCCAGTATGTGGGGAATAAAGGTTAAATCCTGGGAAGGAGGAAGGAATCCTCTATTTCAGTCCCAGAGAGTCCTTGGATAAGACACACAAGCAAAATGAACAATTCTTGAAACATTCTGAAAGCCAAGGCTGCTCCAAAACCTGAGGCTGCAGATTTGTATGATCCTTGTCCACTCTTCTCTTTCCATGGCTTTCCTTCTCATGGATTTTCTCTTGTGTGGCAGCACAACTTTGTCCTGAAGCCCTCCATAGCCTTCTCCCTTTTCCCATTTATTATGTGTAACCTGGGCACAGACTTGAGGACTTCTTTATTTGATATCTAGCCTTGCATGGCCAGTAGGTGCCTGACTGGGACCCATAGTACTGCCTCAGCACAGAAGGCGACAGTGCCATTTGCTGTAAATCAGCTGAATCCCACTGATTTCAGGAATATAGCTTTTTGACAATGCAGAACATGGAAAGGGTTTCAAATACTTAAGTGGGTTAGACGTCTGCGAGGACTACAAACAAATTATTTCATAAGGAAACTTGTGTTACAAATATTCAGGGGGCAATAAAATGTTAAAATGCTTTCTCACAAACAATGCCAAAAGTTTTTATTATCTTGTCCTTCTTCTTTCAGAAATTTTTGAGCTGGAGGTAAACGAAAATGTGCAGATGACTGTAAATGACAGGCAAATGCCTAAGGTAGAATACATGGAAATCAAGATAGACGATTACAGTAAGTAGCACTTTTCCTGTCTCTTATTTTTCTTTTTCACTGCTGTTGCTGTGAAATGATACAGTCATCTGGCTCGACTGGCAGGAAGAAAAATTATTTTGGCTCTCAATAAACTCACACAGTTTGCAAAGTGCTCTCTTAGGATGTGCTACATAAGGAGGTTATTACAGAGACAGGGTTTGATGAGAATGCCGCTGAAGAAAGGCAAAATGATAGGGCTGAGGTTTTTTTTCTTCCTTTCAAAATTTTCTTTGTAGAGAAAAAGCCATGCCGGGAAGTGACGCAGTGTGATGCCCCCATTGTTCAGGGCATTTTCCCTAGCAGGACTGGTGAATTATTTGAGCAGGGTTTGAAGTGGGATACTGGATGTGCTTGCTGGCTACGGCTGTGGCCGCCTTTCAGTATACAATACTGAACTGCAGTGAATGAAGACAACTCACCAACGACTGCCCAAGGGACTCATTCAGGATTCCTTGAGAAAACCACAGCATTTTACAGGGTTGGAAAAAACAGCTGTACAAGAAAAGCCAAAAGAGATTTCACCTGGAGTAAAGAAGGCAGAAACTTGGAGCAGTTTATATCCACAGCTGGTGCATTATCTGTACCACTTTTGTACTCATTCCCCACATATCTGTATGCCAAAGAGGACAGAGAGAGAGAAAAGCCTAATGGCAAACAGCCAAAGCCTAAGCATTTTCTGCCTGTCTCTGTAGTTGTACCTGAAACAACCTAAAAAGCATCTCTTCTGGCTGCAAGCAGATATCTTACCTCTGTGGTGGAAAATCCACACACTCAGAGCTATGCAATGGCTCCCAGAAATCCCAGATTATGTGTGCAGTGGCAGCTCTGAAAAAAAGCCCTAAAGACCCTAGATTCAAAGTATGACCCGTGATATTTCCAATGGCAAAAAGGAGCATGTCTCTCAGATCGGGTGCAGTGAAATGAAAGCAGTGAGGTGCGATGGGTGGCAGGTTACTAATTTCGACCATTGCCAGGTGGTATAAAACATAAAGCAAAGGCCGAGAGACAGTTGCCATTTAAAAAGATCATAATGACCCTAAAATGTTCTGCTTGCCACATGGGCATTAGGAACATAAACCAGTGCACGAAATAACAAGCACAGATGTGCATTTCCAGGCCTTATGGACAGGAAGAGGTGGGGAAAGAGCCTGTCATGAAGATCATGTCCATACCCACCATGAGCCAATTTGTAGTGGCACTGGCAGCTTGTTAAGAATAACTCAGCTTGATGCTAAATTTCTTAACCGCAGGTGTCATTGAAAAGCAATTCTGATCATTTAACCTAAAATATATATATATATGCATGTGTAATAAATATAAGCTGGTCGCAGCCGTGTGGCTGTTTTTCTGTGCCCTCCCTGTATTTTCAAAGCTCTGGGCTTAACAGCCTTGGGAACACTGCACGTAGTGCTTAGTTATATTTAAAGTCAAGCGATGGCCTTTTTGGCTGTCCCTGGGCCATTGATCCAATTTGCAGCTATTAGCATTCAGATGGAATAACTAATTAGGTGGAATGTCAAGCAATGATTGCAAAGCAAACCACTTACACCGCACGGTTAATCTGTGTATTAATCTACTGAAAATGCTCCTAATACCGATTTAATTGCTAGGCCCTGGCTAATCTGGATTGTAGTTAACATTTTAAAAATAAATGTGCCTCGTTAATGCGGAAAGCATTTGTATGGCAGCATTTTTGGCTATCGATACAAAGCCATAGGAAGCAGTTAAATGAAGCTTTGATGAGCACGTCCCTCGCTTACATTGGTTCAGTACCAGTATAGCAACATGGACTTCATCAAGGTTACCTCCTGTTTTACAGAAGAATTAAGCCCTCTGGAAGTTAGGATTAAAATACATGTTTCTATCTGTCTTCACATCATTATAGTAAAATAATCCTATTCTCTCCCCAAGCCACCATACTTAATTGGGTTTTAAACTATCGTTTTCATCGCCGATTTTCCCTCTCCTCTGCTGCCCTGAAATATTGATTTCTGGCTGCTTCACTCATCCAGCTGCCAAAAAGGAAAATTATAGCTATTGCCAGATGTTAATTGAATGCTGTAAAAGTGATGCATGACTGAACGGCTCGCGCTGTACTCCTGATTTACATTTCTTGTCACCCCGGCTATCACAATATGGGTCTTTTCTTTGACAACATCTGTGTTTCTAAGGTGTTATTTACCAGTGTCTCTGATGAAATGCCATTTTGTTCCTGCTCATAAGTGGCCAAAACACCAGAAGAATCTATTAGAGTTATGTCAGCATTCCCACACTGATGACATGTTGTTATTTGTGGGTTTTTTGCCTAGAATTGCCAATGCAGATCCTAAAGCCAGCAACCTTTTCGGACACCGCGCACTACCCCTTGCTTTTGGTTGTGTAAGTTCTCGCTCGGCCTTTCTTTCTGTTCACATAATTAGGGCAGCATGAAAACCTCAGCCATGATCAGACCCTTTTAAGATATGTTTTGCACAACAAATGTCAAACCGTTTTAGCACCAAAGTCCAGCACATTTGTCCCTATCCTCTGTTTCACCTTGGAGCTGGGAGAGGTTTGACGTAGGTCCTTTCCCTCCTGTGTCTGGGCCAAGGGTTTCAGCTCCCAGGAGGGTGCCCTAGTGAAATCCTGCAGAGTAAAATGTAGGATTTTGTAAAGTCGTTCCACGGACACTTGCAATTCAATAATTTTGGGGGCACAAACAGCGGGGGAAGGACTAGGAGACAAACATTGACTTTCGGTCCCAGTGCTTAGGGCACTCGCCCTGCGCTTAACAGGTACTTTTAGAGTGGGATGCAGTCAGCCTTACCACAGCTTAAATTTTAGACGCCCTCATGCAGCAACCCTTCCCATGTAAACGCCAATATTCCCTGAAGTGACAGTAAAGATAGAGCTAGAAACCTTTGAAGATCTCAATGAAGTTAGCATTTCTATTACGTAGGTAGGATTTCCTCCTGGCAGGCATAGCAGATGGGTATTTCTTTATCCAACACTGAGTAATAATAACACACATTACTGACTTTTTTCTGGCAATTTGGAAAGAAACTAGGGGAGGGAAGTCACTGACCTTGGAAGAACTCGTTTGGCCCTGGCTGTGTCCCACTGCATCACTTGCTCCCTGCCAGGGAACATCCCACGAGAGAGAAGCCTCATGTAGGAGTGATGAATGCCTCATGAATGTCTGAACATCATCCTGCACATCCCTCCATGAAGGACAAAAACACTGCAATAAGCATGTCGTTACATCACAAAATTACTGCAGAGAAAACGTACTTCATTATACAAGTGCTTGAGGAAGATTGGTACTCATCAAGCTAACAGCACTTGATTAGGCTGCCTCCAAAGCTGGGTCTTGCCTGAACAGATGCAAATGACTGAAGTCACATGCACATTAAAATCTTGCAGTGACTTGCCTGATGTCTCCGAGAACCCCAAAAAGGACAAAAAGTAGATGGAAGTGCCAGTGGCCCTACAGTAACCCCAGTTCTAAAATATTACTTCTCATCATCATCATCTCTTGCTTTTTCCGATCTGTCTTGCTGAAGTGGGGTCAGTATTTCTTGAGACAGTTCCCCTGTGCAGGACTGGGCCTTAAGCAGAAGGGTGAAGAGGGAGTCTTGCCCACCCCTTCCCCTTCCCCACCAATTCTGGGCCAACCTGGGCATTTTTAAGCCGTTAGTTTTATTGCTGTGAAAGTGTTCTTGTGTTAAGCAGTGGTGACAGAAGTGATTGGCAGCTCCATCCACAGGCGCTCTGGAGAAGGCGCTAGGCTGGGTGAATGGGGGCAGTAAATGAAATCCAAATGCTTGCCAGTAAAGGAAAGGGGGATTGATGCCTGCAAGCTTCATCCAACATATTTTGGCAGTGCCAGCACTGCCCAAAGCCGGGCTCCCCACAGAAACCCCGTCAGCAGAAAAATCCCTGTAGAAAATAGCTGTAGATTACAGCAGGCGTAAATGGGAAAAAAATCAGCTGACCCTTGTGTCGCTGCCCTGTCTTAGTCACAGGAGGAATCCTTCCCTGTTAGTGATGTGCTTGCTAGGTTTGTCCAAAGCTCAGCTTAACGTTGCTGTGCAAAGAGGCAGGCAGAAACTAGTCTGCAGCCTCCACCTCAGCCTCAAAGCCCATCCCACAAAACCAGCCTTCTGCATGTCATCGTTGCAGAGATGGGTCTCCTCTTCTTGAAACCTACCCTACTTTACGATGCGTGCAGGATCTGATGATCCCCAATGCCACGGCAAGCTCACGGCCCTGGGGAGGGTGACTGGCCTGTGCTTGGTGCCGTTGACTTTGCTTGATGCCTATTTGTGTTTCAGAGACGGGACTCCTGGCAGCCAGATCGTAACGGAAAGATTTGAGGTGACATGGGAAAGCGTCATGGTCAGCTCTCACAACGCCATCGTGCTGAAGTTCGACGGCCGTGGGAGTGGCTTCCAAGGCACTAAGCTGTTGCACGAGGTTAAGAGAAGATTGGGCCTTTTGGAAGAGAAGGATCAGTTGGAAGCTGTCCGGTGAATGACACTGTTATTGAAGAAATTAATTCATTAATGATAATTAACCTGACACTGTCATTAGTCCTGGTTGCTTTAAAGGTGTGTAGGGCAGAGCAAGGAGATGGGAAGGAAGGACAGTGTAGTCATACACTTGTGACCATGTGATGGCACATGACAGACAGCTTGTGCCAGCCAGTCCAGAGGCAGAAAAACAAGCCTTAAACAGCTAAACTAGAGCACACTTATCTGTATCACGTGTGCAAAGCCTATTTATTTTTAGCTTTATACAGTCATACAGCTACAAACAAGTAAGCTTGAATATCAGCTCCTACATTAATTTTTTTCTGGCCTGGTTGTTGGCAGGAAAATCCATCTTTAAAACTTTAAACTTTTTAAAACAGGAAAAAAACATGCAAAACCATAAAAGTCAAGTCCTGTCATTGTTAGATTTATTCTGCACATAGTCACACTAAAAACACTGTCCGAGTAGGGCGACAGCATCAGCTTTATCATGACTTTCAGAGCTAGTGCAGGTTATTTGTTGCCATTGTTTGGTCAAATCCAACACAACAGGTTGCAAGATTAAATCGAACAGAGACTCATGTGAAAGCAGCGTGTAGCAGTGTGAATTTAGATTGTCTACATCATTTTTCTGCGGTCACCACAAATTCAAGCTGATAAATATCACACTGTGTTTGCTATATCAAAGGGAAAAAATATTTTTAACTCATTGTTTCTCCTCTCTCATGTTCTAGGACAATGCTGAAGGAGCATTACATTGATAAAATGCGAGTCGGTGTGTTTGGGAAGGTAACGTTTTCCCGTTGTTCTTCTGTGCTGTTCTAGTTGGCTGATGGGCCTAAGCAGCTGAGCTAAACCCTGATTTATTTATGTCAGTGGTGACTTTTTTATTATTATTATTTTTGAGATAGACTACTTCTTGTTCAGACATGTTAAAGGTAAAAGCTTTCATTTTAGCAATGTATTTGTCGATGTTTTTTTTTCAAATTAACTTCCAAGTACAGAAAGTCACTATTTGTCAGAAAAATGCTGTCAGATAATTAATTATTTTTCCCTCTTGCAAACTTCCATTTCATTTTCATCTTGTCCCTTAAGGCCTGTGGGAATGTGGTAGATCTAGCTTGTGTCATACAAATGTATAACAATATTGATTTCTGAGGCTGCTTCGCACCACAGTGTGCGCCCAGCTGGGATACAGCAATTGCAAAGTACACACAGTTTGAAATGAGAATGGGACTGCGAGTATAAATTGTTTATTGTGGGCGATACGGGCTCAGAGTGGAGGAAGAGAGCTGTACATACAGCAGCATCTCTGCTGGGAATTCTTAACAAGGCTGACGGCAGATGTTGAAATCGTGATGTCCGTTTGAAACAGCAAAAGACTGGTGTAATATTTTGGAGAGGCAACATATCTGATCAGAGCCATGGCCATAATGTGGGATGAAGAGAGGTAAGGTCTCGGGCACACAACCCTCCTCCCTTCAGGAGAGCGCAATGAGTGTAGAGCTCACCTTCAGCCGCATCTGCCGAAGCCAGGGAGATGTCCCTTGTTTTGTGTTTTTTTCAGGGGAAGATGTTAAAGGCTCTATAGTGGCTGAGAGTTTGCTGCAAGGTCTGAGCTGCCCTGTTTCTGTACCCAAAAGCAGCAGTGGCTTACAGCAGGACTGCTGAGACCCCTGCCCCGTTTGTGTTCCAGGATTACGGTGGCTACCTGAGCACTTACTTGCTTCCAGCTGGTGAAGAGAACCAGGTGTTCGCCTGTGGAGCTGCTCTTTCCCCACTGACAGACTTCAAACTATATGGTAAACCCCATCCCAGAACCCACAGACTCTCTTTCTAACCACAAATGATGTTTCTGTCCTAACCTTTCCTAGTTCTCTTATCTTTCTTTCCCAAGATTCTGCCTGGTTTTTATGGTGTGTCTTCTTAGGACTAGCTATAAACCCTTTTTTTCTCCTTCAAGAGTAATTTTGCTGGGTGGGTCCAGCCATGGTGGTCAGAGTAACAAAAAACTTTTATTACTCGCTCCTTTTAAATAAAGGAGAATTGGCTGTAAACCCCCCCAGCCTCTGACAACCAGCCTGCATGACTGCCTTGTATAAGCTTCTTTCTTGCCTGAATCATCCATCCGTGGGAGTTGTGGTCCAGCCTGCCCACCTCGTCCTCTCTCTGACAGCAATACTGCACTGCACATGGAGGTCCTTTCTCTCAGGGACACCAGTTCCCTTTGCACTTAATGCCAGTGAAAATCAGGGGACTGCCAAGAAAGTCAGTGGTGTTAAGCCTTTTAGGTCCAGTACAGTTATCCCTGTGACCAACAAAAGCTTTCAGTAGACTGTTGATAGAGATGTGAAAGGAGAAAAGGACACAGCACAATAATGTTCTTCTCCTCTCATATTTTGGTTGTATTAAGAAAAAAAAAAAAATGGCTCTTCTGTGACATGTGGAAACCATAAGTACGTGGTGATAACGAAAGACTGTAGTAACATACATATTCTTAGTGCATTTTCAAAAACTTTTAGAAATATGTCCTGTGTAACTAAGGCAATTTTAGAAAAGATCTTTTTTCAGCATTTGCAATATTTTACTCAGAAGCACCAGTGTACTCACTTATGGCTGAAAGAGATGTTTTCTTCTTTTCTTTTCAAGCTTCAGCCTTTTCTGAAAGATACTTGGGCTTGCACGGGATTGATAACAGAGCATACGAGGTAACTGCACAGACACTGCATTTCCCTGTGAACAGGGTTTTAGCTCTTCCTCAATGTGTTCTCTTTTGGGGAGGGAAAAAGGACATGCAAGATGTACTCACTAGTAAAACTGTATATTTAAAAGTCAGCAAGGTGTCCTTCAGCCTGCTTACTGCTTTAGTTGTCTTAATAGTAACGATGGATATGGTTTTCGTTGATTAGCCTTCATGTCTGCCTCTCTAAATTGGGTAAATACAGTTATTTCAGTTTTACGGATTGAAAGGGCTGAGGTTGAGTGACTCAGCTGTGCCCAAGTAGACACGATGCCATGACCTCCTTGAAAGTTCATCCAAGATAGTCTTGCCACTTCGATTCTCTCTGAGGTATAATTTTTGACTCAAAGTCCAATGAAGCTCAGCTTCTCTTGTTTTTTCAACGAAAGATGTGATATTTCAGCTAGGCAGAACTCCGTGTCAGAGTTGAGCAGGACATGGAAAAAGAGACATGGCACCACTTATCAAAGATATTAATATGTATGACGGGATCAGTTGCTTCACGTCTTCTTTCCTTCAATTACTTGGAGGAAAAACCTAATAAAGAATAGTCACACAAATAAAATTTGTTTCACAGCAAACATTTTTTAGCCTCCTAAGCCTTGTCTTCAGCTAGCAGACATGAAGGCGGCAAAGGTCTGAAACTTCTCTGAAACACAGAAGGCAGGTAGCATCCTGTGCCCCTGCAGCAGAAGCTTTTCCTGGCTATCTAAATACTGAGTTCATTGTCCTTCAGATTTTGCACTCCTGATCTCTAGATCATTGCAAACTCTTGTAGTCATTTTAGAAATTTGAAGGCAGGTCAGCAGAGGTGAAAGCAAAGGAAAATATTCCAGAAATGAGAGCTTTGTACTGCCACGTGCTTTTTGTGCATTGAAAAGCTGGCCTAAGCAAATAATGGTACTTTTGGTTGACTTGAGATTAACTGCTTGGAACAGCACCTGAGCTCTCTGCAGAGCAAGGCACTGTTCTGAGTATGGACACTAATGATATACACATCCTACACACCACAGATGAACCACGAATTGCTTAGGGAGAAGAACACTTCCTAACCCATGGACCAGACGTAAACTTTATGAAGGTCACATAATTCAAGACTTGATGTAGACTCCAAAAAAGCTGTATTGTCATGTGGTTACAACTGAGGGAGCAGAAAGGAAGGAGCCATACATGGGGAGAACAGAGTGCAAGGTCTGTGCATACACCATCACGACACTTAAGCATCACAGCCCACAATCTGAGAATGAAAGAACTCATTAATGAAGTCCAATAATAGAGGAAAGATCAGAGTGCACCTTTGCAAAATTTGCAAACACTTTCTAAGTCCATACAGAGTGTGGAGCTGCAAGAAAGCAAGGACAGGCCTGCGTCCCAAAAACTTGCCTCTAGCACCAAGGAAATACACAGGGCCTCTTCAAATGTTCAGGGTTGCTTTGTCTTTTAAATGAGGAGAGATACATTTAATCTGTAATGTAAAATCAAAGCGACCATATCTTAATAATACATTGCAATGTTTCAGCCAGCTAATTTGGCCTCCATAGCCAGACATGGAGGGTCCTGCCGCTGTTGGAGTCGCACTTCCCAATGGATGCACTGGATACAATGTAGGACAGTGGGAAGATGAAACAGTATAAGAAAGGATTGATGCAAGGGTGTCTTAAACAGAAAGTACACTATCATTTCATGTAAGTGAATGAGAGCTAGGGCACATGAATTTAAACAGTGAAGAAAACATGAATTTAAGTTGAGACAGCTATTCTTTCCTACCCCACTATAAAGCACTGACATCAGTGATTTAAGACATATATTCATTTTGCAACTCCAAGACTTTTTTGGAGTCTTTGGGAGTCTCCCTGAGACTCATATTCTTCTGAACAATGCAGCAAAAATTGAAGAAGTCCTTCATTTCTCTTACCCAGTACCACTGGTAGTCACTTAGATTTGTATTTCCCCTGTGCATCTGGAAGACAGCTGGGGGCAAAGGCATTCTCAGCAGTGGACACTTGAATTTAGTATAAGATCCTCCCCTGGGCTGTCAAAGCTCATTGAGGTTGGCTTTCAAACCATACCAAAGTCGCTCCAGCTCTCTGAAGAGTTCTTAAGTATAGGCACCTCGGCACACTTTTCATCGGTGTTTTGTATTCACTGGAAATTCACTTTGACATTTTCCATGTGTTCTGCAGTTCAGGCTTTCAGTGAACATTATCAGAACAGATGAGGGTCTCTGACCTCTTCCTGCTTCTGAGACTGAGCCTGGAAGGACAGGATGGGGGTCTATTTTACCTCCAGAATGATTCAAGTAGTCAAGAGTATATGCTGTGCTGGTGCCTGCTTGTTATCTTTGTGATCAAATGGAATTAAGTGCTTCTATTTTCTCCATATAAATTGCTAATTTCTAGCAAGACTTTTAATCTTCTTGCAACCTTTACCTTCACAGATCACCAAATTAGCACACAGAGTCTCATTACTGAAGGAACAGACATTTTTGATCATTCATGCTACTGCTGATGGTAAGTTAGCCCATCATTTGAGCTCATTATATATTTGGGATGGCTTTGATTTTTCTTAATTAAATTTGCCTCTTTAATGATTGCAATCTGTTTTTACAGAAAAAATCCATTTTCAGCATACTGCGGACCTTATCACACACTTAATTAGGGCAAAGGCTAATTACAGCTTGCAGGTACAGTATATGTTTCCTTTTTTCGTATTTGAACAGTTATTTTCCCAGTTAGAACTCAAACTACTGTTATGAAGCAAGCTTTGAAAAACCACTTGCAAGCTCAGCCTGGCAGTAGAAATAGCACCAACGTATAATGTGTTCCTATGTACTCCCATGCTTATTTGATACCACTATTTTGGTTTGGACAGTTGTAGAACAATTATTAAATTAGAGTAAATTAGGGTTTGAGAGCTATATCTCTAAGGAATTGATGCCTGTTAACTTTCTTTGGGAACAACGGGCCAAATTCAGGGTGAATTACAGGGAAACAGGGATCTAAATTAAATCAAACAGAAAAGTTAAGCAGAGAAATGTCATTTAAGTCCGACATCCCACTGCAAACAACATACTCTGGTCTAGAAAGCCTGTCTTTCCATCAAATTACATGTCTGATTTGCTGAAGGGCCCAAGTCCAAGCCATTAAAGCTTCCAAAATGAACTCATCTACCAGCCGTGGGGACAGTCGCTATCCTCCACTACATCCCAAGCCACAGCCAGGAGAGTGCAACTAGACCAGGCTCAATCCATGCCAGGGACCATGCTACAGCTCACAGTGTAGATGGTTGTGTTGCAGTGCCCAAGTCCTACTAATGTGTGATTTACTGAATACCAGCTCCCTCTGGCTGCATTTCTGCAGAGCTTCACGTGATAGGTATGCTTCCTTCATCATGCTCCAAAAGCAGATAGGATGGAGGACAGACACGGGAGCTAAGCAAAGAGTCCAGCACAGATTTGTCAATGCTACAGTGACTGAAGCACCCCTGCATATTTACCGGTGCCGGAGCACTAGTATTTTAGAGCTAGAAGCCACCAATGGGCTAGAGGCACCTCCAAGATTAGTCGAGGACCAAATAGAGGGATCTACGTCTTGGACTGAGGTGCTCAGCAGTGAGACACTATAGTCCTGCCTGCAAGGATCCAGACCTAGAAACTCATTTTTCCCTCTTCAATATCCTGGTCTAGACAACCCATTACAGTCCTCTTGCATTCCTTCAACGCATGCAGAAGTTATCTGCTTCATTAAAATGGAAAGTTGCGTTTAAACTATTTTATTTCTAGCTTCCAACATTTTTTCTATTTAATTACTTCTCCAGCAAGCTTATTTCAATTTTTCACGTAATGACATTTTTTTGTTAAAGCCCTCATTCTAGTCTGTAAAATCTAACACCATTTCTCTCCACAGACTTGCACTGCATTTTTTTCAGTTTTCACATGGAGTAAGCACTGTTATTTGTACGGGTGGTCTTTTTCGGCTTACCCTGAACTTGTTCAGAATGGAATTAAGTGGCAAATCCTCCCCAAAAAGAGTTCTTTTTGAAGGATGATATAAGTCTGCGCTCAGAGAGCTGTGGTGCCTGAATTACCCTGGACCTCATGTGCATCTACAGGAAGACACACAATGCTGAGGAGAAGCAGTGGTTTTGCAGGCCAGATCGAGCTGCAGATATGGGTGGGTAGTCCTGAGAATTTAAGCTCCTAACTGTGCATATTTTCTCATTTCTTCACAGATTTACCCTGATGAAAGCCATTATTTTAACAATGCAGCATTGGAGCAGCATTTGTACAACTCCATCGTCAACTTCTTTGTAGCGTGTTTCCAAGTTCAGGACAAACTCCCGATAGCCCCACTGAAAGAGGAGGAGGACGACGATTAACCCTACTTGTCCGTGCTAAGCACAAGGCAGATCTCTCTGACAATATGCAACTGGATAATTTTCCTGAAGAAAGAGATGTTACATTTATAGCATGTATTTAAGGAAAACTGAAAGCAGCTCATCTGCTTTACTTGACAGCAACTCCTTCCTAAATGGAAGAACATTCAGCATGGTGAACTCAGCAGAAACTGCTGTCTGAAATTAATCCATCACAACCAACATCTTATTTTTCTTTCTTTTTTTTGCACCTTTTTTTCTTTCTTTTTTTGTTTGCTACAAAGTGACTTCTAGCGTGAAAGTGGCAAGACATTGAACTTGAAGGAACACTCCAAGAAACCGCTTTGAGGACTGGAAGATTTAATGTCTCTTTGCATTCAAGCAATCAAGCAGTAGCAGTGAAATTCATCATCCGTATTAAGGTTACTATAGTTAGCACCACACTGTGTCAGAAGAAAGACCTAACCTAATACATGGAAAAGATTATAGCACAATTATTTTAAATGATACTGATTCATACATACTTGCCTGCTCTTTTCCATGTTCAGGTTTCTCATTGCTATAGGACACACAAATTCAATTTTACAAAATATTGCTATAGTTACACTGATCTTTACCTTCCTGTAATTATTTGTTACTTTTTATAGCTTTTACTTCTATTTTCATGGGCTCTCATGCTTACTTTATTAGCTTCTCAGCTTGTTCTGGATGGGGAAAAAACAAACACTGAATTAACCAATTCACTTTAGACCTTAGGAGTCTAAAGAGGCAACGGGGGTCAAGGTACCCAGACATTTAAAAATCTGTTAGACTAAAGCAAAGAAAATCTCACTCTCCTGTTCCCGGCATAGCATTTGCCTGCAAGACTGAGTATTTTCTTTGGAAGCCTTGACAAATATGCACATAAATAAGCTAAATCAGCTTAACAATGAGATATTTTTATTGTACTATAGAAAAATATGTGACGGTCGTGACTATTCTTTTTGTTCTTTTAGTGTTGGAACAAATGGTTGGCAACCTGTTGGGGAACAGGTAGATAAGGCTATGATAGGACGAATTTGTACCACACTTCGCAGATCATCTCATAAAGCCATTTAAACAGAACCAATGTGCAGAGATTTATTGCACATGCTGTCTGCGGCTTAGTTTTATTCCGGGTCAATGATTAGCATATTCCAAACACATTTAATTATCTCTTCTGCTCACACAAGTTTTGCCAAGCATAAAAGAAAAAATAAAAGGAGCATTTTTGCTTTAAAATATCTAACACTTCATGATAGCGGTGCAAACCAACTTTTAAAACTTCTTGTGAAAACATTCAACTCTCAGAAAGAAATCCAACCTCCACTCACTTTCACCTACCGCATCATAAGAATTTTGACTTGTGTCGCTCCTTGTAAAATATTCTGACCAAATGTACAGCCAGTATTAATACTGTATATTTCATTTTGTTGTATATAAAGGAATGTAAGTCAGTTATTTGTCAGGTCCCCAATCCAATATTAGTCTTGTGTTCAGTATGCATGCGATAACACTTCTTTGCTGATCAGGACTCTTTAGAAGTACTAGCTTGGAAATATAACAATTAATGTAATTTCTTTTCTTGTTTTGACAGCTTGAATGTCAATACCGGTTTCTACTTTTTACATAGTACTGGGTAAACTCACTTCCTGACAGCAATGATGATGTTTCCATTGTGTTCTTTAGTGTGTCTTTTTTATTATCTTTATTTTAAGCTCTGAATGTTGGTTGTACTTTGACCATCATGAAAAATATATTGCTAAACCACAGAAATGACCTAGTTTGGTTTTGATTATCTACTTTGATTTACAGTGCATCGACATTGTGTGAACAAGGACTACGGTATAAATCTGCTTTATCCGGCAAAATGCCAAATAGACCATAAGAATGCTGCGTGTCCAGATTTTGCTACATTGAACAGGCTCAAAAGCCTGAAATGAACTTGACCTGAGATATGTAAAAATCCGCTCTGTCCACAATCTTTTGTAGAAAGAACTTTAGGATGTGGCATGGTAGTGTTTGTTCATTCATGGAATAAAACATTATTTTACCACCCTGGTTGCTACTGGTGTTATTTGGTTTTAAGTACTTAAATAAGCATTGAGTTGCTGGAAGTGCTATTCCTGGTTGAACCGAGCCCAGGTGCAGATCAGAAAAATGAAAACAAGTCTTTATAAATTGATATACATCACCATTTAGTCTGCCTGTAACCCTGGTAAATGTTGCCACCATGGTAAATGGTGACTGCTTTTGAGGAAAACCTGAAGTAGCACAAAGTGGGTTCAATCCCAAAGTAGCAGTTCATGAGAAGACCCCTATCACCCTCTAGTCTTTGGTAAAAATGCACATTTCTTCCCTTTATGCCTGCTGACCTGGCACATGGGCTTTCTGAGGGCATCAGCCAGGCATCACAGCTTGCCCATAGGGATTTTTGCCCTTTCATCAGTTGTCCCTTTTCCCAAAAGTTGCTTGCAGGTTACAAAGTGGGAACAAAACACTAAAACTTACTGAGTCTGTCAGAGCAGAATTTTCCACAGATGATGCTCCATCAGGAGAGGGAGAAGCAAGAGGTGGGAGTCGCGCACCCAATTTCAGATATTTATTTCCCTTCAAGCCAAGAGAAGAGCCATGTACCTGCCAGGGCCATCCTCAGACACCTCCCTCGTACAAGCAGCAGCTTTTCCATGTGCCTATTTCTCTCTGCTGGCTGCGGGGACGGGAGTGACTATCCCAGACTGAAACAGCTGGGGAACAAGTTGGGGCCATCCCAGCTGGATGTTCCTACACCTTGTTTACACCTGGAAAGTAAAGGAAATCCTTTCATTTCGTAGATTTCCTGGAAAAATTGAGACTTTTGCTCAAATTAGAAATCCGGGTTATGATTGTACCATACAATACACTGTCCTCTTCATCTCAAGCAATAACTTCAGGAAAGATTTAAACCTGCGCAAACATCCATGTGTATAGGCCTAATAAAGACATGAAAGACCTCTTAACCCTAAAAGACTAAGTCATGTAGCAAGGCCATGATGCTAAGAAGCCACTCGGAGGTACAAGGGTGACAAAGATGCTTTCCAATGGCACCTGCTGACTTGCTGCACCTCGTCAGTGTCGAGGGTGATGTCCCATCAGCTGATGCCAAATTGACTGAGCCGGATTCACAGGAAGAGAAATTTAATATTTCACAGCAAAACCAAGATACTGTTGTGGACACTTACTCTAATCTTTGTTGCCAGCAAATGGGGAAACAAGACTTTTGAGCATTAAAATCACAGAATTACTGAGGTTGGAAAAGACCTCTAAGATCATCAAGTCCAACCTTCAACCCATCACCACCATGCCTGCTCAACCATGTCCTGAAGTGCCACATCAAGACCAGGTTGGACAGGGCTCTGAGCAACCTGATCTAGTTAGTGGTGTCCCTGCTCGCTGCGGAGAGGTTGGACTAGATGACCTCTAGGCGTCCCTTCCAACCCAAAACTTTCTATGATTCTATGATTCTATGATCTACACGTTTTTTTAACACCTCCAGGGATGGGGACTCCACCACTTTCCTGGGCAGCCTGTTTGGTGCAGGGCAGGCAGATTGCACTAGTACAAAATAGCTTTGCTGTTATTTTGCTTAATTACCTAAACATAACTAATATTTTTCTATTCTCCAAACAAATCAAGCTTACACTCTCAACTAACTGCCATTTCTGGATGCCATAATGTTCAACTGTGGCATCCCAAAGCGGAAGACAACTAATGAGCAGTGCCTACGAATTCAGAAGGAAACCATAGAGGGAGAAATGAGGCATTGCTGGTAGCTAATTAACACAGCCAGGCAGCCAGCCATGTTTGTAATTGTCTATGGGTTCAGGCATAGAGCATATAAACCCATCCAAGCTCTGCTCATGAGCTCAGGCCAAATAAATGCTGTGTCTCTGAAGAGTAGGAAGGAAAAAAAAATGAGTGAAGGAGAAAGGATATGTGGGATGCGCACAGCACCTTTCCCCTGGGAAGGCCAGTGGAGAGCGCTGTTAGCAATGGTGAGCGCTGTTAGCAATTGGGAGAAATGGGTGTTTAGTAAGGGAGACCAAAGGAACGAGGCCGGTGCTGGTACCCACATGGAGCTGTGCTGGTACCTGGCGAGGTGCTCTTGCTTTTGCTCTCATGCTCTTGTTATCTCTTTAAAGCTCACTCGGTTGGCAGAAGTAAGGCATTGGATGTTTTAACTTTGCGTATCGGGCAGAAGGGCACATCTACCCTGCAGTCCTTCCTGGGGCTGCAGCGAAGCTGCCAGACGTGCCTTGGTGTGGGCTGGACTGAGGACACTTTCTTCCTTGACCTGGGTAAATGCTGGCTCCCCTCTGTGCTCATTCCTCCCTGGATTTCTTATCTGCTTTCCATTTGCAAAAGAGGAAAAGGCAAAAATGGAAAAGGTAACAGAAAAAGCTCAAGATCTCAGTTGCCAATTCCTTAATCATTGCCACTTCCTGAGCCAGCTGTTTACTTACTCCTATTTTGCTCTTCCAACTTACACTCCAGGCTGGAGGTTCGGAGCAGAGCTTCGGGCACTTGCTAAGACCCATCTCCTCTTCCCACTTCACCTTTCTGTCTTCTCATCATTCAGTGTGGTTGCAGTCTGAAAGCAAACCCAGCACCCCCTGGGAAACTAGGAAAAAATAAATATAATAGCAGCATGGTGATGTCTACCAATAAGCTTTAATCAAAATAAAGTCTTTATTCTAACAGCTAATTCATGCTTGGCCAGCATCCTTTGCTTGGTGCTTATTCATTTGCTGGGAGAGAATAAGGATGAGAAGATCCCCAGTGATGAATTATTTATTCTCCCTGTTGCACCAGGCCACCTGCTGTGAAGATTCATGCTGGTCTGGCTCTCCCTACTCCCACCGTCCAGCCAGCCCTCCATCTGTCTTGCAGCCTCAGCCTTTCCAAACCTGTGTGTTGTAGTTTAACCTGACACCCAGCAACTCAGCACTAGACAGCCGCTTGCTCACCTGTCCCCTTCCCACCAGTGCGATGAGGAGGAGAACTGGGCAAAAGTGAAAACTCATGGGTTGAGCTAAAGACAGTTTAG